TCGGCCGCGGGGGGGCAAATATGGCCGCGGCCGCAACGCCCCGCAGCAGGCGATCGCCTGACGTCGGGGCGGCCCGGAAGCGGGGGCGCGGTCGAACGGACAGGTGAAGGGCTCGGTTGGGAGGAGAAGAAGGGGAGGGGTTGCCCCCTGTCAAGGAAATAGAGGTGGAGATGAGGGAGAGGAAGGTCCGAGGCAAAGAAGAGAGGTGGCACAGCGATCAGTGGGTCCCGTGACGTCCACGTGGAGGTATCGTCTTTGGGGCAGCCTGGTGGAATTTTGTCGTGAATAAAATAGGGTGAAACTCGGGTCTTCTCTTCTACGTCATGTTACGTAATTTAACTTCATTTTCCTTAATGCATTATTTAAGGAATTAGCGCTCATAATTAAACTACCATGTCTTTCGCAGCCGTTGAAAGTGAAGGGAGTGTTTTTTCTGTCTAGGGGACAAGTGAAAACGCCGTGTTCTGTTTGGTGTGGGTTCCCATCTTTCGCACCACTAGCCTGTTTTAACGGAAAATATTCTGTTCATATAAATCTTAGAATCTGCGAGGTCGTTGAGTAGTGACTTATTTTTATTAGAAGAACTTGCCGGACATTTAATTTCCCTTAGCATCAATCACCTCTGACTCGAAATGTGCTAATACCATATCTGTTGGACTGTGCGGATATATCTGTTGACGAGTAGTAAACAAAATGGGTCAGTCAAGAACGCGAGCTGGCGTGTGAAGAATGAGGCGGTGGGATGAAGGTGGCAGTGCCACGGTAGTGGGACGACGCGAGCCGGGCTCGCAGGGGTGCCAGGAGCAGAGTGGCGGTGCGGGATGGTTGGGAGGGGGAGAGGAGGGTTGGCTGGCGATCCACGCCGCGCAGGAGAAAGGAGGGAGGAAGGGAAAGTGTCACGGACCGGAATGGGGGGGCTGGAGCGCCTAGCCCACTCGCGGCAGGAAGCGCGGCGCGCATGGCTATAATGGGCCGGAGGAAGGCGGCGGGAGAAGTTGGAGCGGAACGGGGTAGTACCCGCCGCCGCCGCTGCTCTCTCGCTCTTAGTCTTCAGCGCGGACGCCATTTTGTGGGGCAGTTGTTTCGCGACTGTACGCCATATCCTGGGTAATCGCGTAGGCCATTGCAGCTGGATTATTAGTCTGGTTGCGGAGGATTTCGTGACCTACAAAGGCCCTTGCACGATTTTTTTATGGTCTTGATTAACCTGCCATTCTTAATACCAACGTTCGTGGCGTTGCGTCGTTGTATTGAATTTTATTTTCAAAATCTGATCAAACAATGCATGTACAATAGAAACTAATTTCGACAGGTGGCTTCGACTCGGAATGTTATTGGTATGTGTTTGCGTAATTTTGAACTTCACTCGGAAGCCTCATCCTAGAACAGTTAATTACGCACTATAAAAGGATCAACGAGTGTTAATTCATTGCAGCTGAAATGCTGGCGTTATTGGCACAATCAACAAACTTTGCGAATGTTCACTTTATTAATTGCCTTCCTCGTGTGGCTTTGGTGTGTAGCCTTCCGAAGTTTGTTTCTATACGGAATTAACCCATGTTTCATTGAATTTTAAATAGAAAATGCCCGGCTAATAATTCCTTTTAATAATACTGAAATATGCAAACAAGTTAATTCAAAACTTTGTTTCTAAATATCGTAATTGGTTGTTTTTTTTAATTTGGGAAAGGCTAACCACATACAGTGTGGACTTTATGATGAAACCAAAAAATTCGCAGTGTCAGGGTCGTTGCACAAAATTATTTTTCCGTGCATCTCTACATTCTCGCGTTCATCTATATAAAATATGCACGAGAGAGGAATTTGTATGCGTTACTAAATAAACCATTTCTATGCAGAGGTATGTATTAGAATTATTATACAATTCTCCCGTCAGGCAGGAAGAGACGTGTTACCACCACCGGAGTATTCTACCGTGTGGGCGTCAAGGGGAACGGCTATTCTCGGATTTATATTAGCGAAACTAGTAATATAAAAAAGCGACTGTATTCTCTTGGCGTGGGTTTTGTTCAGAGGAATTTAGTATTTAAATGACGCGTAAAAGATTTAAAAATTAAAGGTAAATCTTTCATGAAAACTGAAGCGAGACTATTGTTACTAACATATACTGCGACAAAATGTTAAGGTAAAAAACCTATGTAGGGAGGGGGAAAAAATTTGAAAAAAAAAAAAAAAAAAAAAAAACATAGCAGAAAAAAAAACAAGTGTGTGAACTTCTCCACCACTCTCCGTAGTCTTTAAAAAAATGAAGAAATACTTTTGAATTATTCATTTTTCTGTAATGAAGGATGTTTTTATCAAAGTACTTACTATTAGCATGAAATATTTGGTAATCATTCTTGTTGTGTTAACACAAAGACTACCTGTGTCCGATTGGAAGGTTTCTGTCAACGATTCCAGTTTGTTTTGTGATTCACCGTTTTTCTTTGTCTGTAATGGTAACACACAAACAGTACTATTAGCCCTATAAGTAAGAAACATATTCGTTCCTTTTGTTGATGTCATATTTTATGTGAACGCAGTAGGACCCATTACAGTAGATTTATATTTATACATATGTCCCTTTACTAAAAACGATCAATTTTTAGTTATGTTAATATGTTTTATTCATTTTATTTTCACACTTGATTTTTGATGCAGAAGAGAAAATCTTCGAAGTTGAGAATATTAACAAGATGATTTCAACTCATTCGTTAGTGTGAAAGAGTGAAAAGAAATAAAAGTTGGCCTGCTTCCTAATTCTCACACTAGAAAGCAATATGTTCCGCATATTGCAGAGTTTGAAGTAAGTTGGACAGTTTAAATTCCAATTCCTGGCATTTCGTAAATTTGTGCTTGAAGTGGTCGTCTAATGGTTCCTTACTAATAATTTGAAAAAGCATTAATTTTTTATTTGGTTAATAACGTGCTACTAATTATTTTAGATGTACTATGAGAGAAATTTTGAGATGTGTCATTTTGCGATCAAGAAAATTTATTTCTATCTGGGACGATTTTTTATAGAATTACTAAACACGGCAATTCATGTTTGGTTTGTATATTATTTACAAAACCAATATAATGTGACGCCTTCCGCAACTGATCATTCACCACAACTTGATGTTGGTCTAATGACTAACATATGTTTATAAGTACCATTGCGATAGAGCGCTCTTATGGATAGTAAGTTTCCTCTATCTGTCTATCTCCTTTTAGTTTTTACAAATCGTTTTCCATAGTGCCACCCATGAGGAAGACGAGTGTCACAGAACAGGTAGTTGGATTTCCGGGAAACTTCGAAATTGAAGAATGAAAGAATTTGATAATGTTTATGATGGCTTATCCGTTCACTTTCTCACCTGAGTCACATAATGAATCATCGCATGGCCTCACGCGAGATTCATCCTCAGCCTAACGAAGAACGATTGCCAATAGTAAATGGGTCTGCCATTTTTTGTTAGGCGCGGCCGAATTGTCTTGGACTCGAAAAGTCGCCGGTCATTTCTCCGAAATTCTTTTCTGTGTCGTTTGAGTGCTTCCGTTTGGGGGCGCCATGCGGTCGTGCTCGGCGAAGGTGTAGGTGTGTAGGCGATTGGCGGGGTGGGGGTGGGGAGACACCGGCGGCGAGCCTTTCGCCGTGCGCTGGCCCGCCTGGAAATCTGCCACGCGAGTAATTTCACACGTTTTATCACGTAAAAAGCGTGGCGTTGGAAGCGATTCGCGCCGCCGCTTCCCGATGAACATCTTGCCCTCCGCGCCCGTCAACGGATTTAAGAAACGCTGTTTCTGCGACGTATTTCTACATCTACCGGCGAGCGGATTAAAGAGATTGCCAGTCAGTTGCCGCATGAAGTATTTTTCAGGATTCAAAATTCTATTAGATGAAATACATAGATAAAACGTTGGTATCCTAGAAAGAACCGATGTTCTGTAATGAATGACGATTAATCCTTTATTAGTTGTGTGTTTTTGAGAACATTGCCCACTGGGTCACAATTTTGGTATTTTCAGTTGGGGTAAATGATTTCATCGTTGAATGTAATATATCATAAAATATTAATGATATTAATAAAACAGTAAAAATAGTGTTACTGACTTACAATTATTTCAATCTGTGACAGAAATTTTCATTGTCGAAATTATGACATGTTTACCCTATGTACGTAATTTTATTTTTTCTAGAGGAAGCAATTTATCATTCAATTGCAAGGCACAAGCCACAAAGAAAAAGCAAAGATTGGACATGGCTTTCGATTTATTAGTGAAAATGCAAGAAGCAATTCCCACACTCATAATAAGATTGCGCACTCACTTCCTCGCGAACCGGAAATACGGTGGAAAAGGTACTGTGAGTCGGGTACGTGAGCAGCGGAGGCGTTCCAAGTACTGCACGGTATACATCCGAAAATGAAACGTGCTAAGGATGCTAGAAAGAAAGCCATCAAAATGATCCGACACGCAAAACAGGCTGATAGAAATATCCTACTTCAAAAATCCACCCGCTTAGAAAGGCTTCGGAAGAGAGAAACAGAGCTTGAAACTCTCTTCAACGAGCACGAGATCTTGCAGCTTCTGTCTCCATGCGGCTAGCAGAACGTATGCACCGTTCAAAGAGGGAGGAAAATATCATCGAAGCGAGTGTTGTCTTTTTGCAAACAAGGCCGCCGTCGTTGAGGTCCTGCGAGCGCTCCGCCTGGCGGCGGGGAAGGCGGTGGCGCGGAGCGAAGAAGCGAGGAGGCGGGTGGCGCGGGCGTCGCAGGATCGGCGACACGTCGCCGCCGCCGCCGCCACAATACAGAGGCGGGCGCTGCGCAGAAACGCCGCGGCGGGGCGAGGTGGGGGCGGGGCGCAGCCGGGAGGGGGGAGGGAGCGAGAGACTTGGCGCGCGCGGCATATGGCGGCGGCGAGCCCGCGCGTTC